CAACCAATGTCAATCTCTCAACGTTGGTTATTATATGGGGGTTGTCAAAGATGCTATGATTCAGGAAGCTGGGAGAAGGGCACAAGCAAAACTTATCTGATCACTGCACCTCTTTGCAATCTAAAGTTCTTTAAAAGAAATATTGCTGGTAACTGCAGTATTGGGACCGGGCTGTGGTACACCTATAACCAGGGACCCATTTCAGTTTTTAGCTGTTTCACTTCTGATCCACCTTCCTGATACTATATAGCAGAAAATGGCCCAAATATTTAAGGCCCAGTCCCTGCTGTCTATATAGGACACCTGGATGGAATTCCACACCCTTGCCTTTGACCTGACCCAGTCCTAGCCACTGTAGCTTTGGAGAATAAAGCAGTAGGTGAAAATATTTCTTTTTCTCTCTCTAATATCTCTGCCTCTGTCTTTAAAAACATTAATAAATATTTTAAACAATAACTAATACATTTCTGAAAAGTCATGCAGCATTTTCTCTTTCCTTCTTTCTTTCTCTTTCTTCCTTTCTTCCTCTCTCTTTATTCAAGTTTTCAGTTGTCCGCAGTAACTGAAATACCACAAGCGATAAAATAATACTGGATTGTCTGTACTCAAATCCACTTCCAGTTGACTTTTGTTAAGCATACATTGCCATGACTACACAAGTTCATTGGCTGAATTTATGTGCTCAGATGTTCATGAGCATTAAACGTCCACCTGACATTCAAAGAATAATCAATTAGAAAGTTTGTCTTTTGTCACAAAAATTATTGAACTACCGCTTTCCAGTAAAACTGCAGCATTTTGAAACAGTTAAGGCCTAATGGATACATTTTGTCATTAAATTCTCTTAGCATCACAACAATAAAATATAGTAAAAATTAATACTCTGATTTTACATGGGAGGAAAATTAGACTCAAAGATAATCTGTTGAAGTCATGCAACTACTAAGATGCTAAATGAGTACTCAGACTCGGATCTCTCAAGGAAAAAACGCGGTTCTCTGCCTCTTCACACTCTCACTTCTGTGCTTAAAAGATATCCATGACACGCTTCACCCACCAAACCTTCAAGGCAAAATATCCATTCTAAGCACATTCACACATTTAAAAAAAGATTCTCAATATTCATTCCTGACTTCTATTTAGGTTAAAGTTTGTTTCTGAAGCTGAAGAAAAAAACCTTAGAAGAATGAAAGAAATGCAAGTGGCATTCCAAGCAACAATACGTGCATGCTCGGATGGGAAACATGAGAAGAACAGCTGCCAAGTTCATTCTGGCCTCCTCTGATGCTATCTCACTGATCTGGGTCCAACTTACATTTGTTTCTCTCCATCTTTCCCTCCCCCATTTCCACTTCACTTCAGAGGCGTAGGAAAATCATAGCAAGGAAACAGCAAAGCCGGAGAGAGTTTCCAAGAACACACTGGAAATACGGTCAAATGAGGAAACAGTTACACAGTCCAAGCATAACCTGACAATTAAGTTCAATTCTAAAATGCTCAAACCTGTATGAGAAGATAAATCATACCAGGAAGCAAATTATCTCAATGTTGATGATAAAAAACAAACACTTGAGGGGCAGCATTTTCGAAAGAGCTTATCAAATATCTCTTTTATCTGTTCTTTTGGACAGGGTGTTATAATTTAGTACGAGTCTTCCTTCAAGTTTTCAATGTACTTTTTAATTCAAACATATATTTGAAGTCTTTAATTATGTTTAATACTGTTTTAGCTTTTATGTCCCAGTGCTGATCCTTATCTGTTCACCCCTGGAGCCGATGTATCCACGGCAGCCAATACTAACATTATAACTGAATGCCATCAGAATCGAGCTCTGCTCACAAGTTCACAGATTTCATGACACTGTTCTTGACTTTTATCTCCATTTAGAATTCTTATACTCTGTTATATGTAATTGTCATTATTTTTACAAAGAAAGGAGCATTTCTCAATCACAGTTGTCAAAGTAAAAATGGCTAATCGATTTGTGTTTTAAAAGTCACCTGGCACAGTAGCCTAGCGGTTAGAGTCCTCACCTTGAATGCAACGGTATTACATATGGATACCGGTTCATATCCCAGCAGCTCTGCTTCCCATCCAGCTCCCTGCTTGTGGCCTGGGAAAGCAGTCCAGGATGGCCCAAAGCCTTGCGACCCTGCACCTGCAATGGGAGACCCAGAAGAAGCTCCTGGCTTCGGATTGGCTCAGCTCCAGCCATTGTGGCCACATGGTGAATGAATCATTGAACGGAAAATCTTCTTCTCTGTCTCTCCTCCTCTTTGTATATTTGCCTTTCCAATAAAAATAAATAAATCTTTTTTTAAAAGTCACCTGGGTAATTATATGATATCCCTGTTTTCTTCTTTCTGACTTCTTGGTGAGTTAGTAGACACTCTAAATCTGCATAACAGTAAAGTTAAAACAACTTGCTAAAAATTGATATATACAAGTTTTTTTTTAATTTATCTATTTTTTTATTTGAAAGATTTACAAACAGAAGAGAGACAGAGAGATCTTCCATCTGGTTCACTTCCCAAAAGGCTTCAACGGCTAGAGCTGAGCTGATCTGAAGCCAGGCATCAGGAGCTTCCTCCAGGTTTCTCATGTGGGTGCAGGCTCCCAAGGGCTTTAGCCATCCTCCACTGCTTTCCCAGGCCACAAGCACAGTCTGGATGGAAAGTGGAGCTGTTAGGACACGAACCGGCCCCACATGGGATCCAGGCACTTGCAAGCAGAGGATTAGCTAATTGAACAATTGCACAGGCCTGAACATCCAAGCTTTTTAATTAACACACCTAACAATTGCTTTCAGTTAACAATACATCCAAATATTTGCATTCTTCAGTTCAAGGGCTTAGACAATCATGCTATGCTGCTGTAAGTCTACCATCTCCAAAAAGTGAGAATAAAAAGAGCTTAAAGAACTGGCTCAGGAGGGGTTGGTGCTGTGGTATAGCACATAAAGCCATTTCCCACTGTGCCAACATCCCTAATGTTCACCAGCTGCTGTGCTTGTTTCTCTCTGATAACGGACTTGGAAAAGCAGTGAGTCATCACCCTACCACACCTAAGAGACCTGCAGGATGTTCCCAGCTCTTGCTTCAACCTCCCCTGCAATGGTCATTGCAGCCACCTAGGAAGTGAAGCACTGGGTGGGAGATGTGTCTCTCCACACACACACCCCACCCGACCTCACCCTGAAGCTCAGACTTCTCAATAAGTAGATAAATCCCTCTGGGAAAAAAAAAAGGACTATGTCAAGCATTGTATCCATTCTAAAACATAACACGGGAAATTCTTAGTGTCCTAACAGGTTCATACTTCAATGGAAAAGACAGAGCTCTTGGTTAATTTCAGTGTGTTGAAGGATATTACAAGAATGAGTACTGGGTGCAAGGGAGGATATCGGGTAGGACTTGTAACATAAGCTTAAAGAGAAGTTCCTCAGAGGAAGTGACATAGGAAGAAGTCTAAGAAGTAATCATTGTGTATCCAAAGACAATTATAGTAATAATAATAATAAGGCTGATAGTAATGAGTTTTGTGGAAAAATGCAGAAAAACTGGAACACTTATCTACTGATGGTGGGAATATAATGGTAACCCCTTCTTCACTCTAGCAGTCCCTGCAGACGTGAAGCATAGAATCATCCAAACCCCACTAAACTCCTCTTGATTTGCAAGGGACTTCAGAGAGATCATGAAAAATAGAATTAAAAGTTTCCTTTTTTGTATAAAAAATTCAAATCTATGTGTAGTTTACAGATTTTGCATACCGTTTTGGGAAGATCCATCATATGAACCCAAGATAACTGAAAATGTTTATGTCAACTCAAAATCTCATATGTGAATATTCACAGGGCCTTATTCAAAAAGAGCCAAACTATGGAAACAGCCTAACCATCCCTCAATGGTACAAATAGGGAGAATGGGGAAATAATCAATGAACAGGCAAAGAAAATATAGTACATTCCAAAATAGAGTATCATTCTGTCATAGGAAAAAATAGCAATATATGCTCAACATGAATAAACCTTAAAAACTTTATGCCAAATAAAAATGTCAGATATAAGCGGTTACAAATTGTATGATTCTGCTTGTATGAAATGTCTAGAAGAGTTAAATCTTAGAAAGTATCTTAGTGGTTTCCAAACGCTGGAGGAAAAGGAGAAATGGAGGGTGATTATTCATGGGTACAGGGTGACAAAAACATTCTAGAATTAAATCATGATGACAGCTGTTCAATTTTGTGAGTTTGTGTTCAAAACCACTAATGCTAAACGATGAGTTGAGGCACGAATGAATTACCTCCCGTTAAAAAGAAGGGGATAAAAGAATCAGGAAAAAAAAAGTTAAGAACAACAAGTGACAAAGGGAAAGGTAAGTGGTATCGAAAAAGGAGGAACTTGGGAAGAAAGCCAGTTAACGGGTACACGCATCACCCAATGTTGAGTGCAAGTTCACTGTGTGGGTGTGCGGTAACTCGGAAGAACACCCTCCGGGAAGAGTAAGAGACAGAGCCATCTTGATAGGAAGCCAATGATCAGAGGTTTCTCACACTCATCCTCCGAAAAGAATTTCCGTACTGAACACTATGAAGCAATTTACTGAGGCAGAACACGAACAGGGACATCTCCGGAAAGAGGTGTCTTCTCCAAGAGTCTTGAGTTACAGCCTGAGTGGCTCCAGGCTTCATTTCATTGCCTTTTACTGCAATGTCTGCATCTTGTCCGAGGCATCCCTATTTCATTTACCAGTTGCCTCAGTTGTGCAGTACGCTGCTTCGTATTTCATTTGTTTTCCCCAGATTTTATGACATTGTTTCCAGGTCTAGATGCTGGAGAGATGAAAAATCAGTTCTAAGACACCTCTCATGTACCATTTTATAACCTTGCAGGAAACCACACCTGTCTCCTTATCCCATGTGTCTGTTGGTACCCCACTCTTCTTCAACACTAGGAACCGGGATTTTTTTTTAATGTGTCCTACATTTTAAAACATGCTAGCATTTTCTCCATGCCTCAGTAACTATATTTAAGTGAATAAAATTATCTTTTGACCTCAAGTTGGTAGAGTTGGCATCCAAAAAAATTTTTATCAGCAACTTTCAAGTCAGGATCTATGCCTCCAGAGAGAATACGGTGACTCCAGGAGATGACTGTATCTGTAAGCAAAAGCCAACAACTCATTAGATAGTTCTGTGAAAGAAAGCAGTTGCACAGTCATTACCGAATCAGGTAGATACGGTCACACCCCTTAGCCACAGTTTTGCTTTGACGTATCATCAAGTGAAAGCCAGACATGTCACGTGGAAAACTCCTCAAGTAATTCATAAGTCTTACACAACTTTTATTTTGCTATATTGTTGCACTTTTATTACTAGTCATTGTAAATCTTCTTTGCCCGATTCATAAATTAAGCATTATCGTGGATAAAAACACAGTATATATATTTTTTAGATATATATAAATATATATATATATATATATATATATATATATATATATATATATATATATATATTTGGGTACTATATCAGGAACCTGTTAGGCATTTTGGGAACATATTCTGTGGACAAGGGGAGACATGTGTACTGGGACTTCAAGAAAGAACTGCAACTTTTTAATTTACATTCATTAGACAAATATGTACTAGTTAACATTTTTTTAAAAGCTTCCTATATTGCACATACTTTTTCACATATGTCCTCATTTGTTTCTTCTTCCAATACCATTTTACAGATGAAGAAAACAGCTCACAGATGGCAAAGTCAGGATTTGTACCCTGGGCTCCTGATTCTAGATGCCGAGTTCTTACTGCACATACCATCTTAACACATGGGTCCACTACATAATTCTATGAGGAAAGTCTCACAAGTTAAGATGGTATAAAAGAGACCTAAGTGGTTTATTCCTATCTTACTGCCAGTGCTTTGCAAAATATGTAAATGTGGTCCAAAATTCAAGATACTATAGTCTGGGAGGTCAGTCAGAGACTGAATCAAGGAAAAGCAATTTGAGCCATTTAGGTAAAGTGTCCAAAAGCCAGCTACGTGCCAGAATCTATCCAAAGATCTCTGTGCCTGAATTATTCAGGTACATAGTCCCAAATGTGCTGCTAGGTCTCAACTTCTGCAAAACTCAAAAAAGGAAACCCACACTCTGCAATCCAGCACCTCCCACTGCCAATACATCCTCTGATGACTCATTCATTTTGTCCATGCTTTTGATAAAGTCTCTTTCTCTCCTCCTATACTGCTGATTTGTGTCTTCTTTCATTTCATATTTTGGTAATTCATATATTTCCCGGGACAATTTAGTATTTATCAAGAGTGCAGAAAATTCAATATGTTCCTTCAATTCTTTCCAGAAAGGAACATAGCACAAACAAATAAAAATGCAAAAAGCTTAACACAATGCATTGATGTTCAATGCGTGAAGTACGAACAGCATGAGCTTGACTGGAAGCCTTGGGGGGACAGGCAGCAGGAGGGAAATCCCGAAGCAGGTGGCAGGGTGCTGGGTGACAGCACCAATTGGAGGATGGTTCCCTGCTTCAGGGACACCGTGCTTGTTAACTCTTTTCCAAGTGCACATTTACTTGTTCTTGCAGATACAGAAATATGTGGAGGTTTAACACAGTGTGAATATCCCAAATAATGGTATTACTGTCTATTATTGCAGTAAGGGTGGGAGGGCGAAACTGCTAACAAGCAACTCAAAATTATTGCTCTTCAGATTGCCTAGCCTCTACAGAAGGTATACATATTAAAGCAGCAGCAGCAATAATAATAGCATAACCATAATAACAGTATTTACTTTGCGTACATTTGGTATCCTTCTGAGCAACTTGCTGGTATTAATCCTGCAATCAGCACAACACTTCAAGAGATATGTACTCTTACCACCTACATGTTGTAGATGAGAAGCAAAAGCATGAATTCATTGGCTCCGAGTCACACCGTGGGGAGTGGCAGGGGCGGGATGGGGACCCCGGCAGTCTGATTCTGCATAACTCATTCCTTGGCTAACTTATCACACCTCATTACCACGACAATACTCGCGAAGATGGCCCTAGGACACTGCCTAGTTGTGATTTTTCTCTCCGTTTCATTTGAGTGAACTTCTATAGAAACACAAACCACACACAATGTCCACAAAGGTCTTGGTCATATTAAACTTTCTCCTTGCTCATTCAATAGTTTCACAGAAATCCAAAACTGAAAGTCTAATTTCGTGATTATACCCTGTAAGAATTGCTAAAAAAAAAAAAAAACTTCCAAAGTAAGATGGAATTCAAAAACTACTGTCTTAATACAATTTTGCATCACTAAAACAAACACTAAAAGCTAAGCAATCCTGCTACTTAATACAGTTGTAATAAGGGAACTGTACTTTCCTGAATGTTTCTACTTTTTGAAGTTTATTTTTAAATTGATTTATTTTATTTTACTTTATTTGTATTGTTCCATAATATAATTCCACGGGCTGCAGGATTTCCCTTTCACCGCCACAGATCCCTGCCCCAGCCCCAATACTCCTTCTATTACAATACTATAGTCCTTCGCAATCAGTGGTTAACCCCATCATTCTATTTCAGTGTATCCTGACATTGTAGGCATGGACAATGGCAGAGAGTCCAGCATCCTATTGTCAACATACACTCGGCAGTTTCATTGGGAGTTCACCTTTGATTTTTAAGTAAAGATGCACACTGCATTGTATCTTCCCGTCTACATGCGATAGTCTCCACCACACAGTTATTACACAACTCCTTCAATGAAAACCCATAAAACAAAATCAACAACAGAGAGAAACAGAGAAAATTCACAACATGGAATTAAACATACTCCTGAATGCGTCGCTGAACACATGAAAAAGAGTATTAAAGACTCTTGAAGCAAATGGTGCTATTGTGGAACCTATGAGTCAGTGAGGAAATTAATAAGAAAAAAATGAAAACTTCTTTCTAAATGCAAGAAAATAAAAACAAAAATGCCAAAGCCCCTGAGATGTAGCAAAAACAATACTGAAAGAGCTATTGATCTCATATTTTTGCATGGATGTTGTCTTATATCGGAAAGAATATATGAAATTTGTCCTTTTGAAATTCACTCGTTTCACTGAGCATAAGGGTCTCAGTTGGGATCATTTGGTTACAAGTGCTAGAATTTCTTTCTTTTTACTGGCTGAGTAGTATTTGACGGAGTAGATGTACCACAGTTTCTTTTGACAAGCATCTAGGTTGTTTTCATCTTTGCTATTGCAGATTGTGTTGCTGTACATCTAACATTACAAATCCCTTTCTCGTATGCAGATGTCTGTTGTTATGAATGTATTCCCAGAAGTGGGATAGCTGAATCATATAACAGGCCAATTCTCCTAGCACTGTCCATGCTGACTTTTATAGTTGTTGTACTAGCCTAAACTCCCACTAACAAGGAAGGAGAGTAACTTTATCCCCACATCCTCACCAACAGGTGCTGTCAGTAGAGTTGTTTTGTTTTTGTTTTTTGTTGTTGTTAGTAGAGTTTTGAATGTAGGCCAGTCTCACTGGAGTTAGGTGGAACCTCAATACCTCAATGTGGTTTCCATTAGTATTTCCCTAACAGCTAGGGAGCCTGAACATTTTTATATGCCTATTAGCTAGCTGATTTTGTTCTTTTGAAAAAAATGTCTGTTCATTTCCTTTGCTCATTTCTTCACAGGGTTTTTGGTTTGCTGCCATTGAGTTTTTGAAACTCTTTACAAATCGTGGATATTAGTCGCCTATCAGTTGTGTAGTATGCAAAGATTTTCTCCCATTCCATTGGTTGCTTCGTCACTTTGTTGATCATCTCCTTTGCTATACAGGTTTTTGATGTAGTCCTCTTTGTGCTAATGACTTTACATTTTCATTTTAAAGGAAGTTTAAACTTGCAAAAATGTTCAAACTGCTCAAAACATACACACGTACCTTCCACTCAGAAATACCATCAATGTTCAACCAGTCACCCCAGGCATGTTCTTTTTGTCAAAGAATTCCACCAGAATTTTTGCACTTAGTTGTCATTTTTCTCTAGCTCTGTCCATCTGGAATGTCCTTCACAACATTTATATTATGAAAAGCTACAGGTTACTCATTTAGTAAAATTGACTCCTAATGGGGCACAACTGAAGTGTTTTCAAGAGAAGACCAAAGGATTGCATTTTCTAAAAATGATGGTGTATTCTCATTGCATCCCACCACTGACACTTGATGTCAGTTTTTCTATCACAGTGTCTGGATATTTGATCATTTCATTAAGGTCTTATCTGACAAGTTTTATCAGTAAAGGTACCATTTTCCTCGATAATGAAAATGAGTGGCGGGAGGGTACTTTCTAGTTACAGAAATATCCTGATCCTCCATCCAGACTTTCTTACTAGTTTTAGCATCCACTAAGATATTCACCTGAATAAATCATGACTATGATGACTGCAAAACAGCCATCTTTTAATTTCAGCCTTCTTTCTATATGGCGTACCATCTTAAGGAAGAACTTTCTTGTTTCCTCGTTTGTTCATGTTTTCCTGTATTTACATCAGTGTGGATTCAGTAGGACATATTCCATAGTGATCATTATTATTTGGGGGTCTTGAGTTTTGTCAGTTTAGATGTGGGACTTGTATAAATCCCGTTGTGGTTATTGCTCAGTCTTTGTTCCATCCTAGTCTTCAATATATGGGGAAGGGACTCAAGTTACTTTAACCATCCTCCACTGCTCTCCCAGTTCTCTTTGCCAGGAATTGGATTGAAAGTAGAGCAGCTGGGATGTGAACTAGCATCCCTCTATGGGATGCTGGAATTGCAGGTGGCAGTTTAACGCACTGGGACACATTGCTGGTTCTAAGGTTATATATATTATTTCTACATGTATGAAATTTCCACAACTCAACATGCACATTTCACACTGACACCTCCAATTCCATCTCACAGCATGAGGTTTCATCCAGCTCTCCTGTTTTTATCTGCAATGCTCTTCTCTGCTGGAGAGAAGTCTGGCTCCCAGGACCTCCAACATATTTATTCATTGGCCTCCTTGGGCTGTCCTTGCACGGATCATGCTAATGGCTTTTTGCCTAAATTATTATGGAAGAAGAGAAGCAAGGAAGTGGGGAAGAAAGGCAAGCAGCTACATTGCCT